GCCACTGCACTCCAGTCTGGGTGACAGAGTGAGACTCCAACTCAAAAAAAAAAAAATTCAATCAAGACAGTACTTGAAACTTAAAAGTTCAAAACCTACTTCGGCAGTAGATATAAAACATTGGTTAAATCAAAGTCTCTATATCTGAATGTAGTATCGCATAAGAGAGTAATTAAAATATATTCATAGAAAGTTAGTTATAAAGTATTATAATAATTATCAGACTTAACACAACTACATAACATCCAACATTCCTAAAATTTGTCAGCAACATTCTGGATATTCTAAAGGTTTGTTAAAGATGCATTTTATAAATGCAAACACAAACACCTATTAACACAGGTTTTGTCCTACCATCTGTTTACAAATTTCCAAAGATCCTTTCAGAGGGACAAACATGGTTTACCCAGGGGGCCAAAGAAGCTTCTCTGAGCTTTCTGGCATGAGCCTACAGATAGTGCAATTCCTTCCCCATATGGCCCTACTCCTTTCCTGCCCTCATTAGACATGCAAACCCATGTTCAGCTTAAAGTATTTCAAAGCAGTGGGGATCGGTGGCTCAGCCTGTAATCTCGTGCCTTTGGGAGGCTGAGGTGAGTGGATTGCCTGAGCCCACGGGTTCGAGACCCGCCTGGGCAGGTGAGACCTCATCTCTACAATAAAATCAAAAAATTAGCCGGGTGTGGTAGCACGCGCCTGTAATTCCGGCTACTCGGAAGGCTGAGGTGGAAGGATCACCGGAGCCCAGTAGGTCGAGGCTGCGGTGGCCGGGAGTGGCCACTGCACTCCAGTCTGGGTGACTGAGTGAGACTCCAACTCAAAAAAATAAATAAATAAATAAAGTATTTCAAAGCTATAGGTGAACACCAAGAAAAAGGTGCCATTTTGGGTGGAAACCACAAGAAATAGGTAGTGAAAAATAGCAGATACCCATTTAGGCATTCTGATAAGTCAGGTTTAGAAGTTACAAGTCCTAAATGTGACATTCTGTATTAGAAATAAAGTTTTTTCAAAATTAGAACCATCACATGAAAATGCAAAACCATCATGAGCCAATGATGTCACTGACAGGAAAACCCAGAGCAATCTGAGGCTAAGTTGTTAAAAGAATACAGTGCCCAGTCAAGGGCACTACTTAGACCACACTGCAGAATACTGTGCTGGGTCCCAAGCACAGGTAAAAACCAAGCACTGACCAAAAGGGTCATGTCCACTGACCAGAAAGAACAGACTTTCTTTGGGAAAAATCTGGAAGCCACAACCATGCCTTCTGAGGTACAGGGGAAGAAATGAGGACTGTTCAGCCTTGAAAGAAACACGATGACAACCATACGGCAGAGACTTCATTCACCTGGTGAGTGGGGAAGAGGCAAGAAGGAGGGGAATTTTGAGTACTTTAATAACATTTTAGAGTTAAATTTAAGATTGCAGGCCAGGCATGGTAGCTCGTGCCTATAGTCCCTGCACTTTGGGAGGCTGAGCAGGGAGAGGACCGCTTGAGGCCAGGAGTTCCAGACTACCCTGGGCAACATAATGAAACCCTGTCTCTACAAAAAAATCGAGAAAGAAAAAGTTAGCTGGGCATGGTGGTGCACGCCTGTAATCCCAGCTACTCTGGAGGCTGAGGTGGGAAGTGAACTATGGTCACACCACTGCACTCCAGCCTAGGTGACAAAGAGAGAGAACTTGCCTCAAAACAAACAAACAAACAAACAAACAAATAAAATTATAGGATGGTAGTGAGTGCTGAACAGAGACATTCAACTTCAACTATGTGAACACAAGTACAGGATTAATGATGATTTTAAAGCAAATGAACAAACAGAAGCCCCGCTGGAGAAGGAACACATTTCCTGAGTTTTTAATAAGGCAGATAAAAAGTCCTTATAAAGTGATGTTCTGGATCAGAAAACATTTCACTCAAAAACCTATAATAAGCAAATCAGAACATTTCTTGAATAAAGCCTGAGACCAGCACTCCAAAGATCAGCTAGATGTCCATCTGTCAGGAATGCTGTGGAAAGTTACATGTTACCTTTGATATTTATTTGTTCCTATTTAATACTTTCAGGCACTAAATGGGAATTTCATTTTTAACCCTTTCTAAGGTACGACTTTGGCTTTTAAGCAACACCTTTCTGGTTTTCAATTTTTAATTTAAATTACCTCATTGTGAAAAGGGAATTCAATATCTGCTTTTTTTTTTCTTTTTTAACCAAATATGCATATTTGGTTAAATATATACATTTATTTATTTATTTTTTTATTATAGAGATGTGGGTTACAATTCAGGGTTAGGTATACAAACGCTGATTACGCAGGTACCCTTGTTGATGAGGTATGCCCCTACCTCCCTAGCAGTTTTTCTCAACTGCCAATCCCACCCCCCCCTCCCCTGACACTTTCCTGCTTTTAAAAGTAAAAAGTGTAGTGAGCCATGATCACTGTGCTCCAGCTTGGGCAACAGAGACCCTGATGCCAAAAACAAAACAAAAGTAAAGACTACAGAAGGCCCAACATATTGGTAAGAACAGATCATCAGAAGCCCATGAGAAGAGACGTTGCTGAGGCTCTGTCTTCGTTATTTCATGACATTCATGGACAGCCGTAATAACCTCATTTGCAGAAATAAAAATGATGGCTCATTTATTATTCTGCTGACTAAGTCTTACTACATAATCAAAGCCAACCTCATGACTGCCTGAAACAAAGAAACGGCTACAAGTTCAGGCTATGTGTCAAATCAGTGGCTTCATGTGAGATCCTCGTGGATCCTTCAGGAGAACTACTCCCTGGCCCAAAAAAGGAACTCAGGCTTTTTAAAAATGTATTTTTTGATCATGGATTTGAAACAACAGGAAATATCTCAAAATGAACTCCTTTTTTAACCTACTACTGTCAAAATAATGAAAGACATAATCCCCATAAGAATTATTTATCTTAGGCCGGGCTCGGTGGCTCAGCCTGTAATCCCAGCATTTTGGGAGGCTGAGGTGAGTGGATTGCCTGAGCCTGCGGGTTTGAGACCCACCCAGGCAACTTGGCGAGACCTCATCTCTACAATAAATCAAAAATTAGCTGGGCATGGTCCTGTGCCTGTAGTTCCGTCTAGTTGCAAGGCTGAGGTGGAAGGATCGCCAGAGCCCAGCAGGTCGAGCCTGTGGTGGCCGGGAGCGTGCCACTGCACTCCAGTCTGGGCGACAGAGTGAGACTCCAACTCAAAAAAAAAATAATAATAATTATTTATCTTAAGTGGTGGCAAGGAGAAGCACATATAAATTCTGAGCTAGAATGGTTTCTGTTGTTTCTTGTTTTTTTTTTTTTTGAGTTGGAGTCTCACTCTGTCACCCAGGCTGAAGTGCAGTGGCATGCTCACAGCCACTGCAGACTTGACCTGCTGGTTCAGGTGATCCTTCCAAGTAGCTGGAACTATAGGTGTGCACCAGCATGCCCAGCTAATTTTTTGATTTATGTAGAAATGAGGTCTCGCTGCCCAGGCGGGTCTCGAACCCGCGGGCTCAGGCAATCCACTCACCTCAGCCTCCCAAAGGCGCGGGATTACAGGCTGAGCCACCGAGCCCGGCTAGTTTCTGTGGTTTCAATGGCTATTCCCCTAGCTTATTTTTCTCCATAGCAGTTTATATCTTCTAATATACAGTATATTTCTTGTTCATCTTTTTGTTATCTGTCTCCTTCTATAACTTAAACTCCATGAGGCCAGAGACTCTGTCTTTTAATTACTGATATATCCCCTGTGCCTAGGATAGTGTCTGGCATTGAGTAAATTTTCAAGATATATTTTTAGAGTAAAAGGAAGGAAGAGAAGAGGAAATGTCCATAAGTTAAAAGAATATACAATATTTTTAGGCTAGAAATGTACTGGTCTCTTGGCTTAGAACTATGTAGGAAGGCACGGACCCCCAAATACCATACTAGATTCATGTTTCAAATTACCAAATCATAACTCAAATCTAACCGGGGCAAAAAGGTAAATAAAACATTTCACTCACTTTAAAAGTCTATAATATGCAAACCGGAACATTTCTTGAATAAAGACTGAGACCAACACTCCAGAGATCAGCAGATACTTCTGTGCTGGTCCATCTTTGCTGTCAGTAATGGCTCTTGCCATGAACCAAACTAACGATGAAAGCAGTAGAGATACCAACCAGAAGAAAGCTCTGAAAAAGACGAGGAAGAAAAGTTCCATAATAACGTAAGTACAGGATTAATGATGATTTTAAAGCAAAGGAACAAACAAAACCCTGGAGGTTTTAATAAGGTAAATAAAAAGTACTCATAAAGTGATGTTCCAGATCAGATTAATCAATGGTGCATCTTCCCTGGTGAGAGAAACATGGAATCCAAGAGGAATGTGCTCTTTTCCAGTTACCCTGCCATTTGAAGTACTTCTGCAAACTATCTGCCAATGACTGTCTTGCCAGAAAATGGTTATCTGCCACTTTTCCTAATCAATATTTTGCTTAGGGATGTGTCAAAACAATAGAACACACAACCTGTGACTATGGCAATTGTCCTATCCTTTAAACCCTACAAGAAATTATGGGTCTAATGGTCATCTATCTGCAAAGATGAGTGTCTTTTCCAGACAACGATCTCTACCTCTGCTAGTAGAGTGACTGATTTAAAATCCAAATGTTGAAGCCTTGTGTTCTGGTCCAGATCAGTTTTGCAGAACGGGATCTTACAACACTCCTGTGGAGTCTAATGAGTATAGGAAGCTTCAAAAACCTTCATCCCAACTCTATTGTTTTTAAGAGGCCAGGTTATGCAGTCTTTAAATACAGCCGTGGAAGGTGAAGAAGGTGAAGAAACTCAGAACCGTGGCTGTCACTGGCCTAGCGGGGGTGTGTGGCCTGTCCCCAGTAAGAGCTGCCGGGCAGGTGAAAAGGGGATTATGACCACACTGGCCGCAGAGTTGGGACTCATCCAGCTCCCAGAAACAGACGCCGGCTCTGGGGTGTCGGTGTCTTCACAGGTCTCAGTCCTTCGGCTGCACACCTGAATCACCCACGAGGGGCTTCTGAACAACCTGGAGGCCGAGTTCCACCTCCTAGCCATCCTGAACCGCTGGGCCTGGGATGGGGCCATCAGCCTGCGTAAGGCGCCTGGCACCCAGGTGACTCCAACTGGCCGAGGGCGAGAGCCACTGTCCCAGATACTGACGGCTCTAAGCCCCGCGGAGTAGAGACACCTCGGCGAGTCAGAGGGACACGAGGGGCCGCCTCCCAGAAAAGCGAAGGGGCGTGCACGCGCGCATCCCCGATTTTCCCCCACCACGTCAGTGGCCTCGGGGCCCAGCGAAGCCCACCCACAGCCCTGGGAGCCAGCCTCGGGGC